TTATTGGTAACTCCACATCAATCCAGGAGATGTTTAGGAGGGTCAGTGAACAGTTCACTGCCATGTTTCGAAGGAAGGCTTTCCTGCATTGGTACACCGGAGAAGGCATGGATGAGATGGAGTTCACAGAAGCTGAGAGCAACATGAATGATTTAGTGGCTGAGTACCAGCAATATCAGGATGCCACTGCTGATGAGGAGTATGACGAGGAGGAAGAGTACCAAGATGAGGCCTAATGTGAGCCAAGATTTGCATTTGTTGTATGTTTGTTACTTGAGACATTGGAAAACGGGGTAGATTTGTGTGTTACTTTGCTATTTCCTTGTTAACTGTTTTTGCTTTATTTTGTTACTAAAATATATTTCGTGAAATTAGCATGTGTTGCATTAGTTTAAGTTTATGCATTATACAGCTATATTGAATTTTCTAAATAATGATCATCAAACAGGGATACGTGGATACCTAATCTAGTGCAGGCAATTTTTATGAATTCTCTTACAATAAGTACTTCTATGACTGTGTTAGAAATTTATTAGAATTGAGTTATGTGGCTTTGAAATTTGTCAATAATATGAAGCAAAATAATACGGACAATTTATGCAAATACATTACAAAGTTAAATTATTTTAAAAAATATCGTTCAACTTTTTTTTATTACAAATATTTTTTATACTTGTCTGTAAACTATACCACCACAGATGCCCAACACAAGCAATCACCACTCACTACAAATGACTATTGGCCACCTCACCATTGCAACCACCTGTAATTCATAACTCGCGAGAAAAAGATTTTTTTTTTTTTTTGCAAAATTGATACATAAAACACAAATAGATTCATAAAATTCACAACCATTGTTTCAAATCCATATCTGAATACAAATTTTGTTTTGAGATTCAGATTTTTGGATTCAAATTTGAAAAGAGATAATACAATTAGAGATTATTTGTGTTAGTGGTGTTGGCGGTAGTGAGGAAGATTTATATGGTGGTTGTGGTGGTGGTTATGCAATGATCTAGATGAATGTGGTATCAGCGGGCGATGATTAGTGTTGGTGGCAATCAGGGTCGGTCCTGTGATTATCGGGGCTCGAGACGAACTCCAAAAATTAGGCCCCCAAAATGAACGTAAATGCAAAATTCAACGATATATTATGCAATATATTATTAATTTAAAATTAAAACAACAAACAAATATCTCAATCATCTCACAATTAATGAAAAAACTATTTTCCTTTTTTCAATAAAAAAAAAAATTTTGGGCCAAAATAGGCCCTTTGTGGTTTTGGGCCTGAGGCACATGCCAATGAGGCCTATGCCCAGGACCGGCTCTGGTGGCGATAAAAAATTAGGCCCCCAAAATGAACGTAAATGTAAAATTCAACGATATATTATGCAATATATTATTAATTTAAAATTAAAACAACAAACAAATATCTCAATCATCTCACAATTAATGAAAAAACTATTTTCCTTTTTTCAATAAAAAAAAAAAATTTGGGCCAAAATAGGCCCTTTGTGGTTTTGGGCCTGAGGCACATGCCAATGAGGCCTATGCCCAGGACCGGCTCTGGTGGCGATGAACAGTGGTAGTAGAGAATATGGTTGAGAGGAAATGCGGTTTCAGGTGGTGGAAGGAGGACGTGGTTGGTGGTGACGATGAAAAGTGGTGGTAGGAAGTTTGGGAAGGTGAAGCTAGGATTTTATACAAGTTTTTGAGTGGTTAAAAATGATTTTGAAAGAAAACGAGTCTTTAGAGAATAGAGCTCAAACATAGACATACTACCACATCGGAAAAGGATTTTTATTCCAAAATTAAATGCTCTTGTTTGACAATCATCATTCGACAATCTCCATTTATCAACTTTTTAGGGGCTAAATGCTCATAAGTGAAACTGTGAACCGCAAGCTTAAGAATGCATGTGTCAACCATGACTTCATATTAAGGTTATGTTTGTCACCCATTATTTTAAGAATTAAATAATTTTGAATATTATTTTATGGAGAATGTATATTTAAAAAGTAAAAAAACTTTATTGGTTTGTGTATAGAATATTTTTTTTGTGTAAATTTATAATAAGAATGATATTGTAGCAAACAATTTAAAATTTTAAAGATTGTCAAACAGGGGCTAAATGCCTATTTGAGCCCCATTTTTAGTTAAGAATGCATTTTAAAATAGTTGGACGATGAAGAACTCGTAACAAAAATAAGGAAAAATTTTGAATTTACGTGTAGGTCCTATTTGAGCCGTATTGTTTTCCAAAAAAAAAAAAGAAAGCATTCTTAAACGACGATTTAACATAATTTCAACCACATATTTTTGATAAAATAATATTGTAGGTAAATTCAAATTTTTTTCTCATTTTTTAACTACACATTCTCCATCAATCTATTATTTCAAAATAGAGAAAAGTACTCTTGTTGTATTTATGTATTTAGCCCTTATTTGAGCTCCATTAAAAAATGATTTTGGAGGAAAATGTATTTTGAAATATTGATTTTTTTGGAGAACTTGTAGTTAAGAAATACGAATTTTTTTTGGATTTATGTATAATATTATTTTATCGAATATATATGGTTGAAAATAAGAAAAAAAATGCATCATTTTATAATCATCCAATGAATTTTTTGGATAAAATTGCTATTATATACAAGATGGTTTAATTAGTCTCCCTTTGGCCCCCATTTTGTGAATATGAAAATGGGTGTATTAGTGTTGTTTTTTTTTAATGAGTAGTTGAAAAATAAAGTAAGGTTCTTCAGTTTACACGTAATATTATTTTATAGAAAATTGTGTGGTTGAAAATAGGATAGAGAAAAATGAAATGTAATATAATGAAAATTAATGAGAGCCAAACGGGGGCTAATGAAATATTGAGAATAAAAAATGCGTCAAAATATTTAGGATCATAAGGGTCATTATGAGCGAAGATTGACGACTTTAATCACAATTAAGATGTGATGTAATAAATTATAAAAAGTATATAGCCCTTGTTTGAGCTCTATTTCTTCTATTAAAATATATTTTTTAACAGTAATTTGACTATATTTCAATCACATAATTTTTAATAAAATAATATTACACATAAGTTTAAAACTTTTTTTATTTTTTAATCACATATTTTTAATCATAACACTATTGCAAATGCATTTAAAAAAAGGGGCTCAAACAAGCCCATAATGTAAAAATATATTTAACCTTTTTATTTTTCCATTTTTTAAAACAAAATTGGACATTTTAATTTTTTCCAAGCTTATCCTTGTAAAAAAAAATAATGTTATTCATCGCTAGTTTAGGTGGCAACGGAGTTCACACTCGATAATTGGTGATCAATAGCAAGTTTCCATGATCTCTAGTAGTTGTGAGGACTCTAGTGTTGCTGCCTAGTTTGGTGATATTAGTGATAAACACTATTATTCATAAAAAATTGAGTATGTGAAGTTTTATGGAAGCACTTCTTGTTTAAGCTCCAATTTTGTTTACGTAGAGTGCATTTTGAAATATTGGATTGATGGAGAATGTGTAGTTAAAAAATAAAAAAAACTTTATATTTGCTTGTACTATTATTTTATTGAATAATTTGTGGTTGAAAAGTAGAGCGTCAATTATACAAGCTTGTCGATGGATTTCTGCAATTTTGGTAAATGTTCAAGAACCTAAGTGCAATTTTTTTCTAGATAGCAACTTGTTATTTCATACATTAATTTTCTATAATTTTGTTTTCTCAAATAATAAGTTGTCACAAAATGATGAATATTGTATTTGCTATTTATGAATTATTTAGAAATATTGTATTATGACTATGTTTGAGCATCATTTAAATTTTTTTTTTCTTTTGCGAAAAATGAGTTTCACAATAATGAATTTTTGAAGAATGTGGGGTTAAAAATATGAAATTTTTTTGGATGTATATGTATATTTATTTTAATGAGAAAAAATATATATATGAAGATGAATTCGAAAAAAAAATGAATTTTTGAAAAATGAAACTTGAACAGTAGCTATATAAACTGTGACAAAATCAAAATCCACTCATTCAAAGAGCCCGCGAAAGGCGGACTTATGGGCGCCATCTGCAGAAAACTTTGAGATGACCTTTTGTTTTTTTAATTTATAAGGAACTTTTAAATCTTCTCAAAAGTGTAAAACGTGACTAGACGTGAAGATGAAACTTCAAGTTTTACAAGCTTAAACGAATCTTAGACCTAAAAAGATATTTTCTTATTTTTAATGTTATTTTAAATTTTTAATCGTTTTAAAATTTATTTCGTAATTAAAATAATACATATCAAACATCTATAATGATGAAATATATATTTACTTAATAGTTTCTATACCATTACTCAATTATACAATTTTCAAGTTTTGAAAATGGAAAAATTATAATATTTCTTATAATTTTAATTTTCAATTAGACAAGTCTTATTTAATAAATTTATAAGAACTCTATGCATATTTTTGGAGTTTGCAACAAAATACTCAAGATCATAGATAACGCCATAACTTAAGCCTTCGTTTGGCTCTCATTAATTTTCATTCCATTTTTCTCTCTCATATTTTCAATCACACAATCTTTCATAAAATAATATTACATGTAAAAAAAATTTTAATCCTTTTTCAACAACTCATTTTTAAAAAAAATACTATTCTATACATTAATTTCTCCAAAATGGAGGCTAAATCTTATTTAACTATTTAGATAAAGTTATTTTTAATTTTTGTACAGATAAAATCTTTTAAAAACTTAAAATCAAAGTCAACTGATTTTATTTTATTTTTAAATCAAAAAGTTTTATAGCTAAAGTCAAATAAAAGAATTAAAAAAAAGGGAAAAAAAAACTGAAACAGCTAATAAGAGAAGACGAAAGAGAGCCATTTCTTTATGCACACGGCTTTGATTCTCAGGAGCACTAGTGTTTGTACACGTCCACAATTCTGAACCGCCTTTTTTAAAAGGTGGCGTAAAGAAGAAGAGAAACAAATTTTAATTTTTTATTATAAAATCTTTGCATACTAGAAAATCAGAGAATTTGAATCAAAGGGTTGCCGTACTTTGATCATGGCGGCCAAATTCCTGTCCCTGGCGTGCATACGAAATGAGAGTGGCGGCTTATCGCCGAAGCCACACTATCCATCAATGCCCAAGTATCCAAAGGGCATAAACGTGGCTTCTGATCAAGAAAAAAGCATGCAAGAATCGGAAGCCAAGGCTTTATTCTCAGTTATTGGCATGTCGTGTTCTGCGTGCGCTGGATCGGTCGAAAAGGCAGTCAAGAGGCTTCCCGGAATCAAAGAGGCGGTGGTTGATGTGTTGAATAACAGAGCCCTCGTCATGTTTCATCCTGCTTTTGTTAATGTAAGTTGTCGCTCAATTTTGCTTTCTGGGTGCTGATTTTGAATTATTTGTGCGCAGAATTTAATACGGGCTGTCTGTTCTTGCTTTGAATTTTATTGGTTGCTCTCTATTTGTTCATGCTTGCAATCCTTGGAGTTGGTTTGGTTATTTATTTATTTATTTTTAGATTTAAATAATGGTGTTTTGTAGAATCAATTATTTGGTTTTATGACATTTATCCAATTAATTTGATTATTTAATAAAACATAATAATTTTATGTTAATATATTACCAGATAATATATATTTAAATTTGGTGAATTTACTATTTTTTTCTTTCTACAAAAATAAATAATAAATAATAAATATTTAGAAATTATTTTATAACATTTAGCCCCCGTTTAGCCCCCATTTTCTAAAAATGAAAATGGTCGGAATAATATTTTTTTGAAAAATGAGTGGTTGAAAAAGAAGGAAAAGTTTTCGATGTACTTGTAATATTATTTTATGAAAGATTGTGTGGTTGAAAATAGAAAAGAAAAAAATGGAATGTAATATAATGAAATTTAATTGGGGGCCAAACGGGGCTTATTTAATTAATTTGACTATTTAGTAAAATATAATAATTTTATGTTAATATATTACTAGATAATATATATTTTAAATTTGGTGAATTTACTATTTCATAAGTACTGCTAAGCATACCTAAAAAAAAGGGAAAACGACATGTTTTGAGCATTTTTCGCGTTTTAGTTTTTTAATTGAAGACACTCAAAACAAAAAAAAAAATCGTTTTGAGTTTGCATTTATAAAATTTTTTCTTATTTTTGAAAATGCATTTTCGAATACGAGTGATCAAACGCGTTTTGGGCGTTTCTGAAAATTAAAAACAGAAAACAGCAAACCAAGTGCCCCCTGACTTTGTAAGAGAGTTAAGACTTAAAAGTAACTATGAGATCATGTTTGTCAAAGTAAAATAACTTAAAAGTAACTTTTGATGAAAACAAAGGTGTGCTGAATGTACTAGTTGCAATAGATGCCAAATAAAGCTAAAAGTGAATAACACTATCTAAGGTTCTTAAAAAACTTTTGATCTTTCCTTCATGAATAAGCTTCTTATTAAGATCTCTGTTCGGGAATTTATAGCTATTATTCCCTTGGGCATCATACAACTTGGACATGGACAAGATTTTGTGAACCTTATTGAAGAATAAAGTAACATATGACTAAATGAGAACAATTAAAGAGCTTCACACGGTCACATGAATGGAAAGGCTACGTCAAAGTAAAAAAGAAATGCCATTTATAAAATAATTGAACTGAAAGCTGCACTTAAATGTTCTGCATTTATCGGAGATGGGATTTGTAATTGATAACTAAAACCAAACAGCGATTTGGAATTTGATCTCTTAAATTTGAGTTAGAGAGTAGTCCAAATGACATACGTAGTTTCAGACTTGAGGTGCTTAGATTCCTCTTAAATATTGGGGGGGCATCGATAAACAGCGTTGCTGAGCTATGAGATGAAAAAGTCCTTAGTCGAGCTCAGTTTAGTCATATTAACAGGTAATAAGAAATACTTTTACTTGTGTAAGCATGAAGAGAGAGCACAACTAGTAAATATTGCACTTACAATGCATCCACTTCTAGATCAGTGTTCCCAAGACTCTTAGGAAAAGCAAATCAGCTAATGAATTAGAGCTCAATGCACATAAGTTTAACTCATAACGGTTAAAAATCAGTGACTTTATGATTGAAGAGGGATATCTCAAGTCTGCGTGGCCTTCTTCCATCTGCCCATGATGATTTATATCTTCATAGCTTTGTACCACATGCACTTTGCCTTTAAATGTCCATATTCAGTACAGTGTTTATTGTACAACTCGCGTTAGTATCAATGTAACAATGTTTAGGATGTGGTGCATGGGTGACGTGTTGACTTAGTGGATCTCCTATACCTTTCTTTTAATAAATTAAGTTACTTTTGACATATTTAAATGTGTACTTAATTTAGGAAAAAGTTCTAAGATTATTAGGGAATTTTAAGTTAACACAGAGTGACCTGCTCTAGTTGCTTTAGATTTTCGGTAGATATAGATATACCAATGAATGAGTGAAGAGACAAAATTCATGAGCCGATTTCAAATTTATGCTTAGTTTTTTTTTAATTGTTGTGTAGCCATGAATGTCTGAAGGGAGAAAAACAGTAAATGCGATGCGTAAAATGTTCCATGCAATAATTCAGTTATCACTTATCAAGTTGGGACATGAGCAATAATATGGGATGAAATTACCGTATCACCAAGAATGAATTGTAATGTCAAAATGTGCAGGAGGAAACAATCCGCGAGACAATTGAAGATGTAGGATTTGAAGCCACGGTGATAAAAGAAGAGATAAATGAAAGATCCAATCAAGTGTGCCGGATTCACATAAAAGGAATGACTTGCTCTTCTTGTTCGACAACTATTGAATCTGCTTTGCATTCCATACGTGGTGTACGAAAAGCACAAGTCGCTTTAGCAACTGAAGAAGCTGAAGTCCATTATGATCCAAATATCTTGAGCTACACTAAACTCTTGGAAGCCGTAGAAGATACTGGGTTTGAAGCCATACTTATCAGCTCTGGTGAACATAGCAGCAAAATACAACTGCAAGTTGATGGAGTACTTGATGAAAATTCCGTGAGAATAATTGAAAATTCTCTTCAAGCCCTTCCAGGAGTTCAAGAAATAGATTTCAATCCAGAGCTAAAAACGTTGGCAATATCTTACAAACCAGATGTAACTGGACCTCGAACTTTTGTCAACGTAATTAAGTCTGCTGGTTCAGGATGCTTCAAGGCAACAATATTTCCTGGAGGAGGAGAAAGAGAAGCCCATCGACAAGAGGAAATCAAACAATATTACCGGTCTTTCCTTTGGAGTCTGATTTTCACAATCCCTGTTTTCTTAATGTCCATGGTCTTTATGTATATCCCTGGCATTAAGCACGTTCTAGATAGTAAGGTTGTCAACATGCTCAGCATTGGAGAGATTTTGAGGTGGTTATTATCTACTCCAGTGCAGTTTATTACTGGTCGACGATTCTACACTGGTGCTTACAAAGCGTTACGCAATGGCTCCGCAAATATGGATGTTTTGATTGCCCTGGGAACAAATGCTGCCTATTTTTATTCAGTCTACTCGGTGCTGAGAGCAGCTACTTCTCCTCATTTTCAGTCAACTGATTTCTTTGAGACCAGCGCAATGCTCATTTCGTTCATTCTACTTGGGAAGTACCTCGAGGTCTTAGCCAAGGGAAAGACATCTGAAGCCATAGCTAAGCTCATGAACTTGGCTCCAGAGACTGCAACCTTGTTAACCCTGGACAGTAAAGAAAATTTAATTAGTGAGGAAGAAATAGATAGTCGACTGATACAAAAGAATGACATCATTAAGATCATTCCAGGTGCAAAAGTAGCTTGTGATGGATTTGTCATCTGGGGACAAAGTCATGTAAATGAGAGCATGATAACTGGAGAATCCAGGCCAGTGGCGAAAAGGAAGGGTGACATGGTGATTGGAGGAACTGTGAATGAGAATGGGCTATTACACGTTAAGGCAACAAGGGTTGGATCAGAGAGTGCTCTTTCACAAATTGTTCGACTAGTTGAATCAGCCCAAATGGCCAAAGCTCCTGCCCAAAAATTTGCTGATCGTATTTCCAAATTCTTCGTGCCTCTTGTAAGTGTACAATTACTTTATATATTCAAATCTATTTATCATGAATTCTTAGCAATGATGACACTTCTCTTGGAATTTGTTGACGGTTGAATCCTCTTTCTTATTTTTAGGTTATAATTTTTTCATTTGTAACTTGGCTTACCTGGTTTTTGGCTGGAAAGTTGAATGGTTATCCAAAATCCTGGATTCCTTCTTCTATGGATAGCTTTCAGCTTGCACTGCAGTTTGGCATTTCGGTCATGGTCATAGCCTGCCCATGCGCACTTGGCCTTGCTACTCCAACAGCTGTTATGGTTGGTACTGGAGTTGGTGCTTCTCTAGGTGTCCTGATTAAAGGTGGTCAGGCTTTAGAAAGAACTCATAAGGTTAGAATCTGACACTGTTTTGCTGTTGAGGATTGGATCGAAAATGAAAACTGCATGGAGTTATTAATCCCAAAGAGGAACACTCAACCATATTTTCACCAAAATCATTCGACTTGAAAACATAGTCTATTGACTCTGTATGTAACTATATCCTTTGCAGGTGAACTGCATTGTTTTTGACAAGACAGGGACTCTCACAATTGGCAAGCCAGTGATTGTCAGCACAAGGCTCTTAAAAGATATGAGACCTCGAGAATTCTATGAACTGGTAGCTGCTGCTGAGGTAATCTTCGTTCTCAGAAATTTCTAGGACAGACATGCTCTCATTAGGTCAGCGAGTTACAACTTTGGTGCTAAGACCCTAACATGTTCTCAGGTTTTAGGCTTTTAGTTAACCTGAAAAATGTGCTTACTGTTCTTCAATTTTTAAGTGACCAAATTTTGTTGATTTTATCCAGAGAATTCAAGTAGATTGGTAGTAGCATTATGCTATTAAATTTGTGATTTTAGGGTGTCCACATATTTCTAGGTTGTAGGTTCCATACCCCAGCAAAGAGAGTTGTGACATTCTTTCTTAATGAATGGTGTTCTATGAAGAATTATAAGAAGAAACTTTAACCTGTACTGGTTCCTACTTCTTATTACTAATTTTACATAAATAATTTATGCTGGCTAATTTTTCTTAACTTCATGACCACCCCTAGTGATCATTACTCTCTTGCATAATTTTAACAACTGTTGACTCTTAACTTATCAGGTGAACAGCGAACACCCCTTAGCCAAGGCCATCGTTGAGTATGCCAAAAAGTTCAGACGAGAGGAAGAGAATCCTGTCTGGCCCGAAGCCCAGAACTTTGAATCAATCACTGGCCAAGGTGTGAGGGCTGTTGTGCAAAACAAGGAAGTCCTCGTGGGAAATGAGAGGCTTATGTTGGAGAGAAATGTTGCTATTTCAATTGATGCTGAAGAAATATTAGCAGAAACTGAAGCATTGGCCCAAACTGGAATTCTTGTAGCTATTGACAAGGAGTTGATAGGAATTATTTGCATATCCGATCCACTGAAGCCAGGGGCTGGTGAAGTCATCTCCATTCTCAAGTCTATGAAAGTCAAGAGCATTGTAGTGACTGGTGATAATTGGGGAACTGCAAAATCTATTGCCAAGGAAGTCGGGATAGATACTGTAATCGCTGAAGCCAAACCTGAGCATAAAGCAGAGAAAGTTAAAGAGCTACAGGTAGATTATTATGCTCTTTTTTTTAGTAACAATATGAAGAGCATTCTTGTAAATTATTCGTCAATTTACAATTTCCATATACAGGCTGAAGGAAATATTGTGGCAATGGTGGGAGATGGAATAAATGATTCGCCGGCACTTGTAGCTGCAGATGTTGGAATGGCAATCGGCGCAGGCACTGACATTGCTATTGAGGCAGCTGACATTGTTCTAATGAAGAGTAACTTGGAGGATGTTATAAATGCCATAGACCTTTCAAGAACAACTTTTTTAAGAATCCGTCTTAACTACGTTTGGGCATTGGGTTACAATATCCTTGGAATTCCAATCGCTGCTGGGGCTCTTTTTCCGTCTACTGGATTCCGCTTACCACCATGGATTGCTGGAGCAGCAATGGCCGCCTCCTCCGTGAGTGTTGTTTGCTGCTCTCTTTTGTTGAAGAATTACAGAAGGCCAAAGAAGCTGGATGCGCTCGAGATAAGAGAAATAACTGTCGAGTAGTTATTTAGCCGGATAGTTATGAATCATGTAAAAATCCATGTAGAACTATTGTCGGAACTTCCAGGAGATATAGAATGCTTCAAATGGAGTGGAGAAAGATGAAGAACGTAGTCGACTCTGTATCTGCTTACATCATTAAATAAGGGTTTTTTTTTTTTTTTTTTTTGG